CTTTTTTAGAATTTTGATTGAGATAGCATTGAATGTATAGGCTAAGTTGGCCAGACTCAACATCTTTAAAATAGTGAACTTTCCCATCCGAGAATGTGCCATATGTCCATTTATTTGGGTCTTCGTTTATACTTTTTAGAAATGTTTTATAGCTTTCTTATTAATCATTGTGAGATTCATGTGAAGTTTATTTCAGCTCTTTTTACAGATTTTGTTGCTGCTATAATTGAGATGCTTTTCCTATTTCATTTTCTAATTGTGTATTATTGATAATAAAGTGATGAAATTCATCACTTTTTCTACTCCTGGATTTTGTTGGATTGGTCTTATTTTCTTTGTCCTATCTCCCCCGTGTGTGTGTGTGTGTGTGTGTGTGTGTTGAGAGGGCCTTAGCTGTGTGCTCACCTGTGACTGTGAGGCTCCTTGCCAGCTTGTCTGTAAAGAACTTCTGTGTGTTGTCCTGTGCACAGGGAGGGCAGGCTGTGGCAGCAGCAGAAGTGACACCTCGGGGTGACAGCTTGAGTCTGGGCAGGTGCAACCATGGCTCCTGCACCAAGATGGAAGCCTCTAAGGATTCCAGTTGGCATGAGACAGAGGAGAGGTGAGGTGGAAATGCCCTTTCAGTGGCAGAACCCCCTCATGTGTGCTCCAGGTTCCCACCACGCGGCATACCACCACCCCCAACTCCACGCTGGCAGCCGTGGGCTCTGGGCCATCTTTTCTGAATATCTTTATTGCTCACATTACAGGAAGTGGCTTCTTCCTTCTGCACTATTCCATCTATCTCCTGTTTTTCATGGATTCCTCATTATTTTTGGTCCACAGAAAGTGCCCCTCTTGTTTTCTAGTGTTACAAAATTAACTTTCTATTAATGCCATTTCTAGGGAATTGGAATAGGAGCAAGTAGGTAAAGGATGTTCTCAGCCCCATTCACTGGATTGCTTTTCAATAAGATCCCACCTAGTGCTCCGGCTCCACGTTTTACCCCATTGCCTACCTGTTGGTACTCATGCCTGGGCCATGCCTACTGCCCACCCCACATCTCTTCTCCCACTAAAGTGACCAGTGTTGGAGGAGAACATCCCCAGAGCTCAGAACCTTGTTCTCTCAAAGCTTCTCTGCCTTCCCCTCTTTTTGCCTCAGCCCTGTGCTTTTTAACCTGCTGTGCATGTTAGGTATTTTTGAGGAGATATGTAAAAGATGTTTCTAAAAGTGCTAGCTGTATGAATGAATTGGGATGGTGTTACCTCTGCTGAGTGCTGTGCTGTGATCCACTTTCTACTACACAGTTAGATCCAAAAAAAGGGCTAGTTCCAGATAACAGTTACATTTTTTAAGGAAAATCTTCACACTAGGTGTATTAGTCCATTCTCACACTACTATAAAGAAATACCTGAGACTGGGAAATTTATAAAGAGATTTAATTGGCTCAGGGTTCCACAGGCCATATAGGAAACATAACAGCATCTACTTCTGGAGAGGCCCCAGGGAGCTTTTACTCAAGGTGGAAGGCAAAGTCGGAGCAGGCCTCTTACGTGGCAGAAGCAGGACCAAGAGAGAGTGGGGAGGTGCCACATATTTTTAAACAACCAGATCTCATGAGAACTCACTCACTATACAGTACCAACGGGGATGGTGCTAAACCCTTCATGAGAACTCCACTCCAAAGATTGAATCACCTCCCACCAGACCCCACCTCTACCAGTGGGGATTACAATTAGACATGAGATTTGGGTGGGGACACAGATCCAAATGAAATCAGTGTGTTTGCCTGTTTTTGTTTTGCTATAAAGGAATACCTGAGACTGGTAATTTAGAAAGAAAAGAGGTTTATTTGGCTCATGGTTCTACAAGCTTTACAGGAAGTATGGTGCCAGCATCTGCTGAAGCTTCAGGAAGTTTCCAATCGTGGCAGAAGGCAAAGTGGGAGCAAGCACGTCACATGGCAAGAGTAGGAGCAAGAGTCAGGGTGCAAGGAGGTCCTAGGCTCTTTGAAACAACCAGAGCTTGCGTGAACTCAGAGCAAGAACTTACTCATTACTGCAGGGAGGGAAACAAGCTATTCATGAGGATCTGCCCCCATGACCTAAACACCTCCCACCAGGCCCCATCTCCAACACTAGGGATACATTTCAACGTGAGATTTGGAGGGAACACACATCCCAACCCTATCACTCAAGAAATTAAACAAAATTGTATAATAAATCTTTATGTATCCATCACTCATCTTCAACAATTAACATTTTGCCTCTCTTGTTCCATCTATACCTTCTCCCACTTCCATCTCTTCACTCAATGGGTTATTTTTAATATCATTATTACAGTTTTATTACTCTAGTTTTATATATATATATATATATGCAAACCTTAGCCATAAAATTTTGACACACACATATACCTGTGTAACTTACACCCCTCACGATTTAGAACATTTACATTCTTTATCGAAGCTTTCTCCTATTCCTTTCTACTCAATCCCTCAATCTCACGAGGTAATCACTGTTCTAATTCTTTTTACCCCATATTAGTTTTGCCTGTTCTTGAGCTTCATGTGCTTCTTTTGACCAGCAGTCTGTGAGATTCATCTATGTCAGTGTATCAGTAATTTGTTTCTCTTCGTTCCTGAGACGTCTGTGTGAATATACCATAATTTGTCTACTTTCCTTTGATGGGCATGTTTTTTCCCTGTTTTGGCTATTACATTTATCTACTCATCTTTGTATGGGCATAAATTTTCATTTCTCTTAGATGAACCTATAGGAATGAAGTGACAAGGCCAAAAAGTGGGTGCATGTTTAAATGATATAAAGTATAAGCCATTGTCTTACACTGTAGGATTTTCTTATAAATCATGTCATTTCACATCCCCATGAGGAGCATATAAGGGTTCTGGCTACTCCATGTTCTTGCCAACACTTAGTGCTGTCACTTTTTTTGGTTTTAGACATTCTAGTGCTGTCATTTTTTTTGGTTTTAGACATTCTAGTGCTTAAAGTGTGCCACCTTGTGGTTTTATCTTAAATTTCCTTAATGACTGATAATGTTAAGAACCTTTCCATGTGTTTATTGACCATTCATACATCTTCATTTGTAGAGTGTCTGTTCAAATGTTTTGCCATTTTTAATGTGACAGTTTTATCTTACTGAGTTGTTTGAGTTCCTTACATATTCTTGAAATTCCTTGTTAGAGATATATTTTGTGAATATTTTACCTTTTAGGCTTGTCATTTCATTTTCCTAATGGTATCATTTCTGTGAAGTCTAATTAATCATCTTTTTTCTTTTGTGGTTATCAATTTCTAAGCCTACTTAAAAACTCTTTGCTTATCCCAAGCCACCAAGATATTTTCTCTTGCTTTCTTCTAAAATCTTTATAGTTTTAGCTTTTATGTTTAGGTTTATGATCCCTCTTAAGTTAATTTCTGTATACAGTGTGTAGAAGAAGGTGGAAATTCTTTTCTGTCTCCTTTATTCAGTTGTTACAGCACCAGTTGTTTAAAAGACTTCACTCATTGACTTGCTTTCATGTGTCTGTTGAAAATCAATTGACTCTATTAACATGGGTCTCTTTGGCCTTTGTATGCCCCACTGATCTTTCCATCTGTTCTTATGTCAATACCACACTGTATCTAATACTTTAGCTTTCTAATAAGTCTTGAGGTCAGGTAACATCACTTCTGCCAACTTACGTTTGAGCCTTATACCTTACCCCACCCTGCTGTTCATTTCCTAGTATCAATCATTCCTTCCTTCCTTTCTTTGTTTACTTCACAATTATGGAGTGTCTAATATTTGCAAGGAGTTTTGAATACACACACAGTGAACAAAACAGATGCAATCTTCATCTTCCTGGAACTTACATTTCAATACCATCTTCTACTCCTGACGCCTCACACTCACACTCAGGCTAAACTGGGAGCAGTGTCTGACAGTGCTCTTCTGCCTCACTCAGCCTCCTCGGCAGGCCATAGTTTCTGTGTGCTGACAATCCCTCTAAGACATACACACGCACACATGCACACAGCCAGCTCACCTCAGCTGGGTCTAGCAGACATCCAGCCCCGGGGCAGGGCCCCTGGTTTCCTCCAGCCCAGCATCAGGACTCCATGCCCATCTTAGCTGAACCACCATTGCCTTCCCCCTTTGGCTGCTCCAGGCCCATCCACACTTCCAGACCCCCAACTCCACCCTTCTTCACGGGCCTCTTAATACAGGAGACTTCCTTACTGAGGAGATCTGGCTCGCCCAGGTGAAATTTCTCAAGCTCTGCAGCTATGGACTTGGGTCAGCTGGAAAGAAAACCTCAGCAAACTCTGCCAGATTAACAATATTTCTACTGCCAGCCCTCACTGTGATCTCATCTTGGGTGTGAAACCTCCAGCCACAGTGACGCTGTCCACACAGCAGGTTACTCTGATAGAGGCCTGACTGCTGCGTGGAGGCTCCACAGCTCTGAGATATGAGACTAGTCCCTCTCCTCATTTTCAAGTAGGACCACAGGAATCCTTGTGGCAGGGTTTTTAACACTTTTCAGTTTTTCACAGCATGAGCTCCAACAGTTCCATTCAATACTAACCCCCAAACCTGGTATTGCTGCTTAGATGCTTTCCTATTGTTTGGTATTTATTGGAATTAGGAAGTATTATTTACCATCCTCCCTACAGAAAGCACTTAAAATTATATAAAGATCACTTTTTAAAAAAATTATACATGCTTATTGTGAAAGGCATTTAAAATACATGAAAGTATAAGGAAGGAAGATAAAAATGACCCCGAACTCCTCCCCTGCCTCCAGGATAAGCACCGTTGGCAATGGAGAGAGTGCTCCCACCTGCTCGGCGCCTGGCTGTGCCTGGTGCAGGTCTCAGGAGCCGGACCCTCATCCGTGCCATGCCGCTTACTGACCTGCCTGTGACGTCAGCTCTCTTCCACTAACAATGCTCCCTGACAAATACATCAAGATGCAAGAACCACTTGGTGTTTGGAGAAGGCTATTAAATCCCCTAATACGGTTTTTATTTGAATATATTTTTATGCCTGAAGGTGTCTTATAGAGAGAATTACCTAATGCTGAGATTTTCATGATCCCTGCAGATGTCCTGAAATGCATTTTCAGTCTGGTCCCCAGGTTTGTTTTAAACCAAGAATATCCTGTGAATTAATTGTAAGTTACCAATGAGGAGTATATTAGGAAGCTGCGACTCAAGATCTTACATCAGACACCGCCCGCCAGTGAAAATAAGACAAGTGTTTTTGTTGTTGTTTGTTTTTGTTTTTGTTTTTGTTTTGCCTCCTCAACCTCGAAGCCTGCGCAGAGAGCACAGGTGAAATGGAATGGGGAGAGAGAGACAATGCGTGAGCCCCTGGAGGCTTGCATAGACTCACCCTTCTGATTCCCCATGGTGCTTTTTTGTGCACAGGAGCATCTGTAACAGGGGTGGGACTGTAACGATACAAGTAAGTTCCTAGCCTGGGGCAGACACCCAAAAATTAATGAATAATGCTTCCATGTAATATTTTTAAAAATCAACATTAGTACAAAATCCACAGTGAACAAAATATCAAAATCTTAGGTAACAGGACCAGAAACAAAGCTGGGCCAAGCCCTATGGAAGCTTGAGGCAAAAGGGGAAAAAGCAATACCACTTTGTATTAATTCTGATTTTCTGAATATTAAATTATGTGGCATTTATCTCAATTACCAAGTTTTTGGTGTCCCCTTCGATGTTGCACCCAAGCAAGTCCGTCCCTCCCCTTTCCTGATCTCACCCTTGTCTGTAACTCAGGTTAAAAGCGTCGCCTGCTTGGACCCAGGGATCCATTTTTCCCCACTCAGAGCCTGACCCCTGAGAGATCTGAAAGAGGCCTTTGGGGAGTAGGGATGGGCAGGGCTGGAGGACAGCTACATCTCCTCCAGCTGAAGCACTGACTCTACAGTCAGGAGACCCTTCTCCAGGACCACATCTGCCAACAGCCATGCAGGAAGCAAAAGTTCATTTTATTGTAAATGAACAGTGTGGTATGAAAGCCTTATGCAATACTCTAAATATTCCTTTAAAAAGTCAGAAACCAAAGCCTTCTCACAATATAATTTGCGCTCTTGCTTTTGCTCAGTGTTGGGCATAATTCCAGAAATGTGAGAAGTTGGCGTTAGTAGCAGAGTATCATGTTGTTTGCAATTATTCAGGCGTGCCGCAGCCACAATCACCCCAATGCCCCTTTACCACACGTCGAGGGTGGCAAAAACGGCAGCTCCCAGATGCTTGCGAAGGCCCTTCCTGCTTCCAAAGTTTGCTGTTCTCACATCCTCTGGGGACTGCCCACACCTGCGCTGACCCTTGGCTGCCCAAAGGTGCAGGAGTCAGCATCCTCTTTGAGAGGTTATCAGCGGCAAATTACAACACGATTGTTTTCTGATGAACACAAGTCTGTTTCTAATACATTATTACTCATGAGAGTTAAGGTAGTAAAGTTTGTCAGTTTTATTTTTATCACTCAGAATGGACTCAGTGTTATCCCGATCACATGAACATGACGAAGCCAATTCCCTTTCTTTGTTAGTGTGTTTTTCTGAATAATGGCATAGAAGGCTGAGGCAAGGTTTGTGCACAGTCCTGAAGAGCTGAGGCTGTGGCCAATTACTATGGCACATCCCTTCCTAGAAAACATTTCCCCAACTCTGGCCCCACCTCTGGGGGTGCCATGCCTGGAAACAGCCTGCCATGTGGATGTGGCAGAAACAAAAACGCTGAGATTGGCCGATTAAGGGATGGCCTTTATAGAGCCTGGCCCAAGGAAGGTGCCCAGGCCCCAGATGGAAGACTGTGGGAGCTTCTTCTCAACAGGTCCATGAAAAGGGAAGGCTTCTGCCTGTTTGAGGATATGCTCACACCCCACATCTTTCCAGAGCTGACAACAGGCAGACCTCGCTGAGGTGAACATGGCCTGTTTAATATCACTAAACAGGGCCTGCGGGACAGGGCCTGAGGGTACCTGTTGATCCCTATACATTTGTCAAGACTTGTTCTGTGCCTCACCTGTGAGATTCTGGGACCAGAGACAGAGAATAGCCAGGATTTGGCCTCAGGGATCCCAGTCCAGGGGGTATGACTGAGGCGAGCAGAGAGAGAAAGGGTACCTTCCCTACCTAGGATACAGTGTAAGGAAACGGGGAGCCTCCTGGGGAAGGGTGATCCAGAAGAATGGGGGGTCTAAGTAGAGGAAACAGGACTAGCAAAGGTGCACCAGCAGGATAGTCCCTTCTTTCCTTGTATCCTCATGATCTGGAATGATGTCTGTACCTGGTAGATGTTCGGTGAAGTTATATTGAATGAAACAAAACAGAAACACTATACAAAGAATGTGCACAATCATCTTTCAAACTTTTTTTTTTTCTTTTTGAGAAAGAAAAGCAGAATCTCCTTTTCATATAAATCAAAAATGCTTACAGCACCTGGGACACATGGCTGTCCCTACTGGCAGGAACCTTCTTCCTCAGAGTCTGCCCACAGTTCAGTCAAGGACAGTCCTGGTCGGTGGCCACATTTCTACAAACAGTGCTCCAGTGATACTCACATTTATAAAGGAAAGAGTTCACATTTCTTTCAAGTGTAGCAGTGTTTGCTCGTGATGTTCTGCAGACAGCATTCATCTCTTTCTACCCCCACCCCCCGACCAACATCAGACTCTCTGTGATATAGACACGCTCCCTACTCAGGCCTTGTATTTTCATGGAAAATGAGCAATTCCAGGCGGGAAGCATGGATCTTCAGTTTGTTTACAAATTCCACTTTGTTCATCTGCGACAGGTCCTTGAGACCCTTGGTCTCTCTCCCTGGATTCTCAGAGCCCAGCAGTATGTACAAAGTAGGATTTCTCATCAAACCGAGGCTTCATGACTCCAGCCTGGAATTGCCCACTCTTCCCACTAAGCCACTCCTCCCGTTCTGTTGTTGCCAAAGGAAAGCACTGGACCAGGTGTCCAGGTAACCCCACTTATCCATCTACAGTTCATCAAATCTGGAAGACCTAGAAGTCATATGATCTCCCTAAGACTTTACTTTGCCCAGCCGTGTAATAAGGATAATAATATCAGACAACTTCTGATAAGTTTTCGGAATTGAAAGCATTAGTAGTTATCAACACCCTTTGAAAGCTCTAAGACATTCTGCTTTTACAAACATAACGTTTTATTGCCCTCTTCCTCCTAGATACCTTTGGAACTTTATCAGTTATGCTGCTAAGCATCTGATTAATACCATTTTAGTTCTTTATGTCGAGGAAGGAAGAGCTCATTTATTGACAGTCTCTTGACTCATGGAAGAAAAAAAAGAGTCACATGAAAGTATGACTTAGGTTGGTTTATTTTTCTTGTGTACAGACAGAAGAGGAGACAGTGTTAAGGGCTGCAGGAAGTCATCCAAAGGGCCTAAGCACTGTCTACCTGAGGAGGTTACTGCCCCCGTCTACCCAGCAAGTTCATATATGCTTGTCGGGTTTCGACTCTCCTCAGGGTACCTCCTCCATGCAGCCTTCCTGGGAGGTGGCTCTAACACTTGTCTGTATCATGGCCTGGACCTGCACCACTGTTGCAGCAGCCGCCTTGCTATGTTTCACTTATTTCTGTGCATGCATATTTCTTCTGGGCTCTTGAAGATGGGATGAGTCCTTACCAGGACCCACCCTGGGTATACAGATGACCCAGAACTGCAGTCTTAATCACAGCCTGGGAAAACTGGCAGGGAGACACACAGGCGTCCAAGTCAAGGTCACACCCTTGATTGACAGTGGAGGTGGGATGATGGGATGAGTAAAAAGTGGAGTGGCCAATGCAAAGCTCCAATGTCAGAAGTCCCTGGGGGAAACCTGCTATTCCACAGAGGCCAGAGCACAAAACCCACAGTCACCGATAGCAACCCCACTGCAGGGTAACTAGCTGCAAGTCCCTTAGTCTTGGTAGTTTTTCACCCTCTTTCTTCTGCAGGTTATTTGAGCCAGCTTCCATTCCTTTCCCTTTACTCAAAAGAACTCTACCCTGTTGCTCCAGGAAGTCCGGTATCGTTTTGGAAATGCTGGGTGGGAACAGCATGGGTTTACACGACATCCAAGGCAGCAAGCACGGGGCAGAAGCCAGCGAAGAGTCAGCCTCAGGGTTCGGTGGTCCACATGTTTACTGTTACTCCTTGCTCATTGGGCTGCCACATCCTATGTTATTTGTAAGTGCTTTGCAATTTTAGCCGATCTTCTAGTACATTGAGTTTTTGTGATGTTTTTCTAGTCCTACCAAGAACAGTGGAATTCTTCATTTAATTAAAAAGACACCAAAAGATTATTTTTGTAAAAAGGTTCATGAAAGGGATGGTTGCTATTTCCCAGGCTGCCCAAACTTGCACCCCCAGCTCATAGAGAAAAGAGGCCGGAGCTGAGGGGAATATTTGCTTTATTACTGGAAGTCAGCAGGCAGGGTAAAGAGTCAACAGTCAGGAAAATCCTGCCTCTTTGTCACACTGAAGCATCAAATAATCATTGCTTTTTTTCTTGAGAAAACATAAATGGATGAAGTAATGCCACATGTAGGAGTTCATATTTAGCAGGATCAGCGAAAAAGCCAGGACTGTGAGCTGGGAGGTGGAACAATGGCATCACCAGCTGAGATAAGTAGGGGCAGGGAGAAAGAAAGTAGCACATTTACAGGGCAAGAAATGTTTTTGGGACTGGAAATGCAGTTGACTGTGAAACAGCGGATCACCCTGCCCATTCTTCCTCCCATCCCCACTAAAATCTGCCATTCCAACATTCTAGAGCCTAAAGCTTGCCCCGGCTCCCACCGACCTGGGAATGTTGTCCCAACTCCCTATCTGGCAGGGCCCTCCCTCTCTCCAGCTGTGTGCTCTGCATCAGCCACGGCAGCCTGTGCTGCAATCAGGCTGGATAATTTGGAACTTTCTGGACTTCCCATCCTTTTTTTTTTTTTTTTTTTTTTTTTGAGACAGAGTCTCGCTCTATTGCCCAGGCTGGAGTGCAGTGGCACAATCTCGGCTCACTGCAAGCTCCGCCTCCCGGGTTCACGCCATTCTCCTGTCTCAGCCTCCTGAGTAGCTGGGAGTACAGGCACCCACCACTACGCCCGGCTAATTTTTTTGTGTGTTTTTAGTAGAGACCGGGTTTCACTGTGGTCTCGATCTCCTAACTTCGTGATCCACCTGCCTCGGACTCCCAAAGTGCTGGGATTGCAGGCGTGAGCCACCGCACCTGGCTTCCCATCCTCTTTTTAACAGTTATTTTGAATTATGATTCACATACCACACAACTTACCTATTTAAATTGTATAATTCAGTGGTTTCTAACATACTCACAGATGTGTGCAATCATCACCCCAGGCAATTACAGAATATTTTCATCAAAACCCTGTGCTTTTAGCTGTCGCTTCCTCAGGTGGTCTGCACCTCACCCCCAGCCCTGTGCAACCACTAGTCTATTAGCTGTCCCTGTATATTTCCCTGTTCTGCACATTTTGTATAAATAGAATAGTAAATATGTTGTCTCTGGTGACTGGCTTTTTCCATTTAGCATGTTTCAAGTTTCATTCATGTAGTTTGTATCAGAGTTGCATTCCTTTTTATGGACAAATAATATTCCATTGTATGAATATACCAAATTTTCTCTCTTCATTCATCAGTTGATGGACATTTGGGTTGCTTCCAACCTTTAGCTATTGTGAGTAATGCCACTATGAACAGTCATGTACGAGGTGTTATGTGAACATGTTTCCTTTCTGTTGGACATATACCTAAAAGTAGATTTGCTGGGCTCCATAGTAATTCTATGTTTGCATTTAAGGAGTTGCCCAGCTGTTTTCCAAGTAGGCCGCACAATTTTTGTCTTCCTACTAGCAGGATATGAGGGTTCTGATTTTTCCACATCATCACCAACACTTATTACTATCTAATTTTTTTGTTCTAGTCATGCCAGTAGGGGTAAAGTGGTATCTCACTGTGATTTTTTTTTATGTTCATTTCTCTGATGACTAATGAGGCTGAGCATCTTCTCATGTGCTCATTGGTCATGGGTACATATTCCCTGGAGAAAAGTCTCCTCAGATCCTTTGCCCATTCCTTAAATTATTTGTTGCTTTATTACTAAGAACTGAACTGAAAGTTCAGTAATAAAGAACTGAAGAGCTCTTTATCTGTTCTGGATGTAAGTCCCTCTTTAGATATGTGATTTGCAGATTTTTTTCCATTCTGTGTTTTGTCTTTTCATTTTCTTTATAATTTCCTTTGGAGCACAAAAGTTTTTAATTGTGACAAAGTATAATTTTTTTATTGCTTGTACTCTTGATATCACATCTAAGAATCCTTTGCCACATTCAAGATCATGAAGATTTAATCCTATTTTTTTCTTCCAAGATTTCTATAGTTTTACTTTTTATATTTAGGTGTTTGCTCCATTTAAAGTTAACTTTTAAATTGAGTGAAGTAAGGGTTCAACTTCATTCTTTTGCATATGGCTGCATACATTTGTCCCAGTACCATTTGTTGAAAAGATTATTCTTTACTCACTGAATGGTCTTGACACTATTGTCAAAAATCAGTTGACTATTAAATGTGTGGATTTATTTTTGGACTCTCTCCAGGACATTGCATTGATCTCTGTGTCTTCTTAATGCCAGGATCGTATCGTTTTGATTTCTGTTGCTTTGTAGTGAGTTGTGAAATCAGGAAGTATGAGTACGCCTACCTTATTATTCTGTTTCAAGATTACTTTGTCTCTTCTGGGTCCCTTGCAAGTCCATATAAACTTTAGTATCAGCTTCTCAATTTCTATAAGGAAGTTATCTGAGATTCTCATGGGGACTGCCTTGAATCTGAAGGTCAATTGGGAAGCATTGCCAACTAAACAGCACTAGTCTTCCGATCCATGAATATAGACTGCTTCTCCAACTATGTAGATGTCCTCTAATGATGTATTGCAGTTACATTTCTCACTGGAGGTCTCACTGTTTCCTGCTTGTGCTGCTTGAGAGATGAAGAAGCTTCCCCAGCCTGGCTGCCTGTTGCCTCTTGGTGACGGGAATGCAGTCTCTGAGGAGTAGGGACAAAGTCCCCTTCCCAGGCACATGTTGTGATGAGATTTCCCTCACAGGTCACCCCAGGCCTGTGTCTGAGTGAGGCAGGGGAGTCTCAGGCTGGGGAAGGAGGGCATTTCCCTGGCTGGATCTACTGGTTGTGGCAGGATCCCTTTCCTGATCCACTTTTGCAATCCTGATGTGGTTGACAGTAAAAGACCATTTAAATCCTTGATGGCTGGCATTAAAACTCAAGCATTTCTTTCCCAAAATTTCAGTTTTCTTTCTTAATCCCATCTCCGTGAAGACTCAGAGGCAGTGTCTCCTCCTGGAGACGTGGCAAACACTGGAGGGGCTCAACTCCCCTTGACGGATGTCCATCTGGGGCCTGCCCTGACCCTCACAGGCATTCACAAGGAATTATATGGGCCGGGTTTTTTTGTGAGTTAGAAAGCATGAAAGCAGGCTCTGTTTCCAAGTAACTTCCCATCCGCCTGGGGTGCCGTGATCAACCACAGGGCACCCCGAAGCCCCGTGGGGGCTGGGTACCCAGGGCTGCAGTGCAGGCAGTGACTCCTGCACAGCTGCTTGGAGCAGGCGGAGTCCCAGCAGCTGTGGACAGCTCCTGTGGCTCAATCTCCTGAGCTTCTCTGCGGAGTGAGACTCTGCCCTTGGGGGCTGGGGACATGAGGATGAAAGCCATGCTTGCTGCCTTTAAGGAGGGCACAGTCGAGTGAGGGAGAAAGATAAAGCCGGTGCTTCTAAAACAGCGTGGTCAGAACCGTCAGAGAAATGAACATAGATGACAAGGATCATGGTGGAGAAGCCAACTGAGGGTAATCAGAGGGTTCCCAAATGAAGTGGGGCTCCAACCGAGACTTTGAAAGACAAGATGCTATTGTCCTGCTACGACTGGGTGGGGCCTGCAGCATCCTAGCTGAAGGGAGAGCCTGAGGTGAAGCCTGGAGAGAACTGCAGGGTGAGGCAGGCAGGGAGGAGAGGGTAAACTGCACTGAATGTAGGGTGTTGATTCAGCTGGGATTTTCCACAAGGGCAGGATTGAACCAGGAGAAGAGGGGCAAGCACTCCACTTCCAGGTACCAAATGATGTGGGTTTAAATATGGGTTCCTGCTGCAGCTGCACCAGAGGTCCCCTGAGAACGCTTTTATGAGAAACAATAGGAAACCTCTTTCTTACCCCAGATATGCTTCCATTTGTCCCTTTCTTCCATTTTAGTTCACATGTTTCTTTATAAGTTCTCATCCTCCTTCAGGCCACAGATCTCTTTAGAATGTATCCAGAGCCTCCCTCTAAGGAGAATTACATAGCATATAAATATAATTGCAAGTTTCATAACATTTCAATAGTTTAATAGCTTTGCTGAAATGTATCTGTAGACACCAGGGTCAACTACTGTGACCCCAAAACTAGACTCTGGCAAGTTTTTGTGCTCAGTGATCCTCTCAGTGGGCCTCAGAAGTGCAGCTAGCACCATGCTAAGAGAGGCAGAAAGGCACGGAGATGGTAGAGAAATCGGTGTACGATTAGATGAAGTGTTCTAGATGCTATGACCTAGACATGACCCAAGTCATGACAACATCTGAATGAAAAGGAAAATTCAGACGGCAGAACTTTGCTGACCATATTTCTTGCTTTCCATCCAGATGCTTGGTCTATGCACATACACTTTTATGTTCTGAAAGTGCTGTTTGTGAACAACACCCAATGGGTTTCTCCCCTGGGTGGAGAGTGGCAGTATCTCCTCTAGCTAGCTGGAGTACGTGTGGTCTCTTGAACAATGTTATTTTACAGTTGACTCAGTGCCTGGCATGAAATCAAGCTGGGACCAGCTGCACTGGTGTGGCAACAGGAATATTCATACTTTAGAAGTTATCCTAATGTCATCATGGTAGCGGACACAGATGACATTTGTCTGAAAGGCTTTGCATCAAGGCACTTTCTTTCCTACGTTTTAACGAATCTGCTGTATGTGTGTCTTGGGAACCTGAGGTTGGAGTGCAAATGATTCATTTTTAGATTCAACATGCAGTGAGCATTATTTACATCTACTGCTTTTCTGCCTTGGTATATATCAATAGTTATTGCTAATTCAATGTCAAATTTTGACCTTACTTTTTATAGTCAATATATGCTTCTTAGAGCAATAAATCTTTATAATCACTACAGTTTAAATCAATACCTGTTTATTATCTATTTATCATCTATGAGTCAACCTTTCTACACTTCGGATACTTAGCAACCTGGCCATCAGATATCTAAGGATGGAGCTCCACTGAAATGACTATTGAGGTACAAAGGATTCATGTTACCTGCTTTTAAAGTTGGACATAAGAGCTAAAATAAGAGCAGTTACAACAAGAAAGACTCATAAAGTGGCTTGCTGGGCCAAAACAACTGTTGAGTTATAAAATATTTACAACATAAGAGATCTGCAAATTTATTTAAGTATATCCAAACAGTATATCTTTAGCACTGGGGTAGAATTCTATCTTTCCATGGAGAGCAAGTGACCTAAAAACATACTTAGCAGCAGACAGCACTAAAGCTGGCTTTTCCCATCACAGCGCTCTCAGTTTAGTTGTGGGAGTGAATTTAAAGACAGACTCATGAACCAAATCAGATAACGCCACCTGCCAAGGCCTTCTTCAGGGAGTCAGTCGATGGTCCAGTCAGTGATGGGGCTCAGGCCCAGTGTCTGTGTTGTGGGGAGCCACGGGTCACCTCGAGGAGGAATGAGTCAGCAGTGGCATCAGGCTGCTGGCTGTAGCAGCTCCTCAGCCCTGCCAGTCCCCCGGTGCATGCATCCTCCAGGGGACCCTCGGGAAGGACTCACACTGGCTGGAAGTCAGAACATGCATCACAACCCAACGCTGCTTCAGTTCTTTGCTCTCCTCTCCTCACCTGTGAAGAGCCAGCTGACCAGCAGCCTCTCACAGCCGCAGAATTCTATAATTAAGAGAGCCCTTTGGCATCTATCAAGAGGATAAATCCACACATCTGGTTATATGCAAGTCCTCTGTCTGTTGACGCTGTGGCACAGTGTCACTGAATAGCCTTTGAACAAACCCTCTTCATCACTTGTAGTTCTCAAGAATAACTGTAGAATGTGCTGAGAATGCAGCGTCCTGAGATGAGGATATCCTGGCTGGAACAGTGCAGGCTCTGTCCCCATTTCTCCTAGAACACAATGTCCTGCTATGCTTCAGCCCAGTGAGTCCCATTTCCTTAAAGTATAAAACCCAGGATGGGCTGCTTTCCAGGGTCCCTCAGCTGTGGTGCAGGTGGGGAACAAGCAGACAAGGCTCCATCTGAGCAGTTTTCCTGAGCCTTGGAGGGCCCTTGTCACAAATCCTAGGCTTCTGTTATCCATTGCTGCCTATCTGTGAGTGATCAACCCACTTCATGTAGCTTGTATGTGGATGTTCTGTCTCACGGAATGCAGACAAGTTGGCAATCTTGTTTCACAAGACATCAGGTTCCATGACTGCCCTGAGCAAAGTGCTGAAGGGTAGATATTGTCCCAGACACTCAGAGAGCATTAGCAAACCAAGAACCTAAGGTCTCTACCCATTTTTCTGCAGTAGCTGGAAGAGTCAGGCAGGGTTCCCTGGCTATGTGACTTTGAGTTTGGTCTGCCTCATGTGGCTAATGGTGAGAGGGTTCTGGTGCCAGAGTGGCACACCCCAGCACCACTTCCCCACCACCTTTCACTCTTCCCTCTTTCTGCCATCTGCTCAACTTGCCCCGGCCGGTAGGGGGGTCCTCATTCCTTTCAGGACATGAATTATAAACTTGTCTGCAAAAACACCCTGGTTACCCATCATGGATGGAGGAAGTGTAGTTCAGAGGCTAAGCAGCAAGACTTTTGAGCCAGGAAGGGCTGGATCAATCTATGGAGTGAGCCTTGGCAAGTTCACTACTCAGGAGGTGGTAACCTAACTTGTACAATTGGGATTATGGGTTTCCAGGATTGGTGAGACTCTCTGCATGTTAAGTCATTTGCCCAGAATCCAGAGTGGAATCTATCCACAATACATGTTCATTGTCATTCTTTTCCTCCTCCTCCTCTTCCTCCTCCTCCTCCCTCTGTCCCCTGACCATGTTATTGCTAACATGGGGTTTTGCTGTTACTGTTGTTGTTTTTGACAGAGTCTCACTCTGTCGCCAGGCTGGAGTGCAGTGGGATGATCTCGGCTCACTGCAACCTCTGCCTCCTGGGTTCAAGCGATTCTCCTGCCTCAGCTTCCCGAGTAGCTGAGACTACAGGCACACGCCACCACGCCCAGCTAATTTTTGTATTTTTGGTAGAGACAGGGTTTCACCATGTTGGCCAGGATGGTCTCAATCTCTTGACCTCGTGATTTGCCTGCCCTGGCCTCTCAAAGTGCTGGTATTACAGGTGTGAGCCACTGCGCCAGGCCAACATGTTTTTTTATAATTACATAACTTTATGCTAGGTGCCCAGGGAATACAATAGGAATTGGTCCCTATCCCTTTAAGGCTTAGTTGGAAACTAATTTATGTGGAAGAAATGAGGCCCAGGCATGTGGTCAACTAGTGATCATGGTGAACAGTCTGGAGAAGGACAGAAGAGGGTACTGCTGTCTGCTGAACACCTGCTCTGGATTAAAAGTGTTACTTATAGTATCTCATGCAACCCCCCCACCAGCCCTCCAAAACAAATGTCTGTCTTTCCTTTCACAGAGCAGCGAACTGAGTCCTGGTGAGATGAATCACTTGCCCAAGCTGTTAAGTAAATAGGTTCTGGAATTAGGATCTATACCCAGTTGGGAGGGGGGTGCCAGGCTGCCTGACTTCTAAGTCAGGGTTTTTTCTTTCCTGCCATGTTTCTCTATGGGAAACAAGGAGATCCATGCAGGCTGCAGTAATCAAAAAGGTAATTAGAAAATGGAATTTGAATGAGGCCCTAAAATATGGCAGAATTTGATAGTCCCCCAGGGACTGGTAAGCTTAGCTCTATCACAAAGCCTGTGGTCTCTTTGGTCAATATTTAAGATATTGAAATCTCTTGACTATAATGTGTACTCTGAAGTTGTTGGTAGAATTTTCTACCAGGTCAGTTGCTTCAAGTTTGCTAATTGTGTTGTTTAAATATTCCACATCTTGGCGGGGCATGGTGGCTCACACCTGTAATCCCAGCACTTTGGGAGGCCGAGGCGGGCGGATCACGAGGTCAGGAGATTGAGAGCATACTGGCTAACACGGTGAAACCCCTTCTCTACTAAAAATACAAAAAAAAAAAAATTAGCTGGGCATGGTGGTGGGCGCCTTTAGTCCCAGCTACTCGGGAGGCTGAGGCAGGAGAATGGCGTGAACCCGGGAGGCGGAGCTTGCAGTGAGCCAAGACTGCACCACTGCACTCCAGCCTGGGAGACAGAGTGAGACTCCGTTTCAATAAATAAATAAATAAACATTCCACATCTTTACTGCTTTTGTTTGGGCATCAAATCAGCAGAGAGGTTTGCCAAAATCTCCAAGTATGATTATTGATTTGCCTACCTCTCCCTCTATAAATTTCTGCTTTATATATTTGAGGCTGTGCTGTTAGATCAATACAGATACAAACTGTCTACATATACCAATTACATTGCTGCATTTATCATTATGGAATGTCCCTCTTTATCATTATTAATACTTCTTGCTCTAGAGTCTGCTTTTTCTGATGTTAATATAGGGATAACATCATTCTTTTGGTATTTGCATGGAATATGCTTTTCCTTCCTTTTACTTTCAATCTTTCTGTATCTTTATAGTTAAGGTGTGGCTTTGAATGCAGCCAAAAATTGCGTTTTTTTATCTTGTCTGACAATGTTTGTCTTTTTTTAAAAAAAAAGAAAATACTAAAATATACGTTTAGGAATGGTGTGTACCTTAAACCTCTCAGTAAATTTTCATTAAATGAGCATCACTGTATAATCAGCACGCAGATCAAGAAATAGAACTTTTGGCAACTCAAAAACTCTCATGCCCCTTCCTAGACACTGCCTCTCTGCAGGGCCTACCACTCTTCTTACTTTTAACACCATATACTAGTTTTGCCTGCTTTTGAAATTTATAGAAATGAAACAACGCAATATTGAGTCTTCTGTTACTCCTTTCAGTCAACATGTTTGTGAGATTCATTCACGTTGCTCTATCAGTAGTTTGCTTTTTGTCTTTCTGATAGTATTCTGTTGTATGGTACACAGCAATTTTTTAATGCATCTTTCTATTGAACTTCTCATAACATCCAGTTTGAGACTTTTACAAATAGGGTTGCCATTAAAAT